AGGAGATGGGGAGCTGTATCCCAGGGAGAGTCAGCACCTTCAGGAGAGGAAGATAGCAATTAATTGAAAAAGATTTTTGTTAAATTTCCAAATGTTCCATTAACAATTTTAGGAAGTATTCATTTGGGCATGCAAAATAATGAAGAACAAAATTGTCTTTTTGCAGTTTTGATGTTGAGAATGGTCCGTCTCCAGGTCGGAGTCCACTGGACTCGCAGGCGAGTCCAGGACTGGTGCTACATCCAACATTCCCTCAGAGCCAGCGTCGGGAGTCGTTTCTTTATCGGTCTGACAGCGACTACGATATGTCACCCAAAACAATGTCCCGAAATTCCTCCGTGACAAGTGAAGTGTGAGTACAGCTTTATTATTTGTTATATTGGTTGTCTATTGATGTCTTTTATACAAGAGAACTTCATGGCAGTGCACTGTTCCTGTCCATAGAAACTTACTTCCTGTTTATATATCTTAGACAACTTTTAATGTCAACATTTTCCATTATATATGCACATGTCTAGATTCAGACTGGGATTTGCTCATATAAATCTGTCACGTTTTAATTATAGCCTCGTTTCTCAGCTTTAAGTGCCTAAGCCCTTGGCAGAGATACTCTGAAGCTCCATTGAATTTGACATCTCTTTCCAAATTCCAATAGCTTTTTATATGGAATGAGAAACAATAATATAAAATGAAAAAGGGCTTCTGTGCATGAAGACTGAAATCTTCCTGCTCCAATTTCTTCACATCACATAATGTTAGTGCAGCGATACAAGGGAGTGTTTGCAAGAGGAATGTAATATAAAGTGAGGATGTTGTACCACAGTGGTACAAGGCTTTGCGGAAGCTATGTCTAGAGGACAGTTTTATTTTAGTTTTGGTCTGTTCAGTAATGCTTTAGAAGCAGTTCATTGAAAGTTCACTCACTCAGTCCTGGGATGAAAGGGCTTATCTTACGAAGAAAGGTTCAAAAGGTTAGGTTTATACTCATTGGAATTTTGAAGACTGAGAGGTGATCTTTATTGAAACATACAAGATCTTGAGGGGACCCCTGGACAGGGATACCTGGGTTGAAGTCCCACCTGCCCCAGAGGTATGTAATAACATCTCTGAACAGCTTGGTTCGAAAAATAAGGTGGAAACCCAGATGATGTTCCCTCTTATGTAGAGACTAAAACAAGGGGAGATAATCAAAGATTAAGAGGTCTTCTTTCAAGACAAAGCCGAAAACAACTATTTGCCTAATGAGAGTTCATCCCCACAGCAACAACTGGCTTAGTGGCTATGAGAACTAGGCTAGGTTAACAGCTGGATATCACAATGGGTCAGACCCAGAAACAACAGCAAGCAGGATCTGCTAATATAACACAGTGATACAAAAGGCCTTGCTTAAACCTGGTGTCCCTCACATATCACATCAGTAGTATTAACAAAATTATGGGAAAGGATCATTGTTTGACACGAGTTACTTCTGATTTAGGGTTGCAAATTTTCAAAACATTTTCAACAAAATTAATTAGCTTAGATTTAATGCAATTATACTTTCTGACCTTAAAGTGACGGGATTTAATTATACTTTCACCTAAGTGTTCAGTTAATACATTGAGATAAAAGTCTTTGTGTCACTGCTTGAGCTGTATCCTGGTGGAGTAGCTCACTGGTCCATTTCACCTGTTTCTCAAAACAACCATTACTGAGCCCACAATTTAAGGAACCTATCTATTATCCAATCTGTCTGTTACTCAATCATTTGTTATTGAACACACTCTTTATCTAACCTGCTGGTTACTCAACCTGTCCCTTATCAAATATACCCTTTACCTATCCCATTGGTATCAGACACATCTATTATCGAAAATAGCACTTATCCAACCTGTTGGTTGTTGAAACTTTTCATACAGAACTCCTCCCAACCTGGTTTTATTCTAACCATTTCATGAGAATGAGGATTGGACTAAGTTGATTTTATTCCAACCATTTCATGAGAATGAGGATTGGACTAAGTTGTTTGCATTGTTTTTGTGGAATCTTGCTGTGCACAGATTGGCTGTCACATGATATGTGACTAAATTTCATTAGTTAGAAAATGTAATTGGGAAATCCTGAGTTAGTGAAAGGTGCTATAAGAATTATCATTCTTTACAAGAGACAGGTGTTCCACTCCATTAGGCTGCCTGTGGCAATCCACAGTTTGAACGCACTTTCTTTATAATATGATCAATGTTCTGACAAGGAGTCTGCACTACTCAAGAGATTCCTAAACATGTACATCCTATATCATCATATATAGGTTTTTAATTTTGGGTTATATGGAACTACAGGATTTTTCTTACTTCCCCGACATAAAGATAACATTTGCTCAGTTTTCTGCAGCCCAGGTCTAAGTAAATATTGACTGAAACCTTTGAGCTGTTGACACTGGTGAGGGCCTCCATTCATCTGCAATGTATCTGCCTCTATATGTGACACCTGGCAGTTTTCAGACCTCTAAGCATCATGCACTGAGCACAGACAGGGAAAACGAGGCACTATTACCTATCACTTTGTAACTTCTGGGTATAACCTGATTGACTTCTCCATCCTGTGATAATCCAGGAAAGCCTCAGAGCTTATTTACATTGGGTTCCTGCCCAGAAGTACCTCAGGTACTCAACACAAAATTGTCAGGTAATATTGACGAGAGCACTATTTGCCTAATGAGAGTTCATCCCCACAGCAACAACTGGAGGAACTACAGGAAACAGGAAAGATGCAGGTGACGCAGAGAGTGACAGGGAAAAGGAGCACAGAAGACACAGGAACTAGAGGAAACAGGGCAGATACAGAGAATCAGGGAACATGAACACAGATATAGGAGCTACAGGAATCAGACAGATTCAGGAGATACAGAGACAGACAGGGCAGGGGACCATAGCAGATATAGGAGCCACAGGTAACAGGGCAGATACAGGTGATACATAGAGACTGGGAAGAGGAATATAGCAGATATAGGCGCTAAATGGAATAAACAGGTACAGAGTCACAGAGAGACAGGGAACAGGAACAAAATAGATACGGGGCTACAGGAAACAGGACAGTTACAGGAGATACAAAGAGACAGGGAACAGGAACACAGCAGATACAAGAAATGCAGGAAATACAAATTAACATTTAAATCAGACTCCTCCCTCTCACCTTCAGTGTTGTAGTGAGCAGAGCCCATTGACATGAATATGTCTTCATAGATAAAGCCTCTTTACTTGGGTGTCAACAAGTAAACCTCTATATTGCTCTCTGACTCTTTCTGCATCTCTTTCCTCATCTTGTCTATCTCCCTTACTGTCTTATTCACTTCCCGTATGCCCTCTTAATTCATCTTACACTATTTCTCTCCGTCTGCCTGTAACAGCTTGCAATTGTGTAACACCTTTAACAAAGTAGAAAATCCCAGGGTGCTGCAGACAAATGTCCTCAAATTTTATCTCTCTCTCTTTCTAACTCAGTCCAACTCTCGTTCTGTTGATAACCATGACCTATGTTTTTGCCCTCAAGTCAAATGATCATACCACAATCCTCAACTCAATGAACTTTGGCTTTTAAAAATAACTACCCAGACATCAGATTTTCAGTTTCTGGGGGTGGGCTAGATTTGAAGTTGGGGCGGGGGGCCCCAAGAGTAGAGAGGAGGTAGCCAATTGTGGTATGAGGCTGAACAGAAGTCCTGGCCCGAGGATCTGGCACTGTGTCCAAAAAGATTGTATAAACCATAAAACATCTCTCATTTTTCCCATTACAGAGACCCTAGGGCTTATGTCAACTGAGTATGATAGCAAACTGTGCTTGTTTTAACATGCAGATATACTGTTCAAAGATTTAAGGAGCAGAACATTAAAATGCTTTGACAGTCTGATAGTTCCCTTTCACAGCTGTTTTTCATAGACTTTCTTGTGAGTTTTGACAGTTTGACAGGTCTGTCAATAGTTCCATTTAACTTGACAGTTAATGAGTTTATTCCCTTTTTAAACAATCAATGAAGTTTACTTTAAAAATCTAAATGGCACCATACCTTTCCTGCAAAGGTGTCAGGGACAATATCTGAAGGGTATCCCGGTTTCCAAAGAAGTGGACAAAGTTCTGATCTGCTTTTACCAGGCCTACACTGCTAATTTAAATGAACAGCTGTCTCTGTGAACCAGGCATGTGCAAATCTTGATCCATAACCCAACATGAAAATGGGAAATGTCATTTACCAGTGTCAGCATGGTTTCATGAAGGGCAAATCATGCTCGCCAAATTTGCTGGAGTTCTTTGAGGATGTAACCAGCAAGGTGGATAGTGGGGATCTGGTGGATATGGTATATCTAGACTTCCAGAAGGCATTTTACAAGGTACTGCATAAAAGACTGATTCAACAGGATAGATCCCAGGGGTTAAGGGTAGACTATTAGCTTGGATAGAGGACTGGCTGACTGGCAAAAAGCAGAGGGTTATGAATAAATGGGCCCTTCTCTGCATGGCAAATTATAACAAGTGGGTGCTGCAGGGTTGAGTTCTCAGACCACAACTATTCACAACCTATAAATAACCTGCAAGCAGGGACAAAGCAACATTTGTTAACACAGCAAAATTTGCAGAAGATACCAGAATAGGTTCGAAAGCAGGCTGTGATGAGGTGATAAAGAGTTTACAGACGGATATTGATAGGCTAGGAGAATGAGCCAGAATCTGGCAGATGAAGTTTAATGTGGATAAGTGCACGGTCGTCCATTTTGACTGGAAAAATAGAAGGGCAAATTATTATTTAAATGAGAAGCAGATTCAAAGTGTGTCAGTGCAGAGAGATCTGGGTGTCCTTGTGCATGAATCACAGATAGTGGGTATGCAGGTGCAGCATATAATAAGAAAGGCAAATGGAATCCTGGCATTTATTGTAAAAGGACTGGATTATAAAAGTAAAGCAGTGTTGTTACTATTATAGAAGACATCGGTGAGACCACAGCTGGAGTTTTATGTCCAGTTTTGGTCTCTTTACTTGTGGAAGGATGTGGTGGCACTGGAGGCAGTTCGAAGGAGGTTCATCAGATTGATTCCAGTGATGAAAGGGCTATTGTACAAGAGGTGGTTGAATAGCTTGGGCTTGTACTCGCTGGAGTTCAGAAGAATGGGTTGTGATCTGATAGAGTTATATGAAATTCTAAAGGAGATTGATAATTTGGACATTGAACAGATGTTCCTCCATGTGGGACAGTCTCGAACAAGAGGTCATAGATTTGGAGTCAGAGGAGGTAGGTTCAAAACTGAGATAAGGAGAAACTACTTCTCTCAGAGGGTTGTGAATCTGTGGAACTCCCTTCCCCAGAGTGTAGCAGAGTCAGAATTAATCAACAGATTCAAGAAAGAAATAAACATGTTTCTGATGAAAAGCGGGATAAAGGGCTATGGGGAGCAGGCATGAGAGTGGGATTGAGACCAGGGTAAATTCAGGCATGATCATGTTAAATGGCAGAGCTGGCTCAAAGGGCTGAATTGCCTAATCCCACTCCAATGTTCTTATAAAAATTGGAAATGTTGTTTTCATGGGTGGCACTTGCAATTTTTGATGAGTTTTATCAAGAAATACAGGCTTGAATCTCTGTCCTCTGTAGGGATGTTTTGGTTTTTAATCCACCTGTTGGTCCATGCTGTGAAATCATGTGTTTTTCTTTCAGACATACTGAGGACCTCATTGTCACTCCTTTTGCTCAGGTGAGTTAAACTAGACACATTCTTGCAATCTGTCTGTTGTTTTCTCTGTCTCTTATTGTGGTGCCATAATGTTCTTAAGAAAATCGCGTATGAAATTAGAATCTACTGCAGTGTATTTGAAGAGATCTTATTGTAAATGACTCGGTGGGTCTGTGATTCAGACAGTAGCTTCACCGTGGCACCTGGGGTCATATGGAGCCCAGACAGGATGAGGCTCTTCTCTGTCTGCTGAATGTATGGATCATAGATTGAATGATTTTGATCTTTCTGAATTGCGTTCCAGTGGAATGGGGTCACGGCAGGACAAATTACCCCCAACGTTCACAAATTTGCAAGTCTTTGAATTGCTTGGTTTGAGAACTGGGAAATCACAGATGTGTACAACACAGAAGAAGGCTATTTAGTCCCTTCATTGGGGTAACAGAGTCATTTGAGACTTCATGGAGCAGGGTCACCCCTGCCCAGTCCCATTTAGCAGCTCCAGTCTGGGGTTACAAGCCATAGTTAAAGGTGAAATTGGTGAATTTTCAATGTTGATAGCAGAAGAATCTCAAAGAATTATGGCTTGAGGACACTTCGGGGAGAGAATTTGTGTTCCCTAAAGCACTCTTGAAGAGGGCAATATGAAACTAGCTCATTCATTTCTGTCATAAAACCCTTATCTGAGAACTCCAAGTGGACATCCAATTAATCCTGCTGCCCTATTCTATAGCCGATTTCCTTTTCAAGTATATTTTAATTCCCTTTTCAAAGTTATTATCAAATCTGCTTTATTATCCTTTTAGATAGTACATTCCAGATCAGTAATTGGTGTCTTCTCATCTCCCCTGATTCTCTTGCCAATCACCATCATTCTGTGTCCTCTGCTTAACAATCCTTCTGCCGTTGGAAACTGTGTCAGCTTATTTACTCTACCCAAACTGCTATAATTTTGGAAGCGTCGTTTAAATCTTTCCTCAAATATCTCTAGTGTAATGACCACAATCCCTGTCTCTCTGCATTTCTGAAATCCCTCTCTCCAGTACCATTCTAGTGACTCTCGTAAGGACTTGACATCATTTGTAAAGTGCAGTGCCCAAAATTGGACACAGTCTTCCAACAGGCTTCCAACCAGTGTTTTAAAAAACATTTAGCACAATTTATTGTTTTTATACTCATTGCCTCTGTGTATAAACCTAAGGAAGCTGCATGCTTTTTAACTTCTCGACTTGTCCTGGTACCTTCAAAAATGTATATATGTAACTACGTCTCTCTGTTGTTGCATCTGTTTAAAATTGCACCATTAAATATATATTGGCTCTCTTTAATCTTCCTTCCAAAATACATATTGTCATACTTCTGAATGGTAAATTTCACCAGCCACATGTAGTCTACTTCACACATGGAAGCACAGAAAACAGGAGCAGGAGTAGGCTATTTTGCCCTTTGAGTCTGCTCTGCCATTTAATATGATCACAGCTGATCATCCAACTCTGTCCCCTGTTCCCACTTTCCCTACTACATACCCTTTGATCCCTTTAGCCTTAAGAACTACATCCATGTCCTTCTTGAAAATATTCAATGTTTTGGCCCCAACTACTTTCTGTGGCAGAGAATTCTGCAGGCTTTCCATTCTCTGGGTGAAGAAATTTCTCCTCAACTCAGTCCTAAATGGCTTACTCTATATCTGTAGACTGTGACCCCTGGTTCTGGACTCCAGACTGCACTTTTTATAGGTTTCTATGCGGTCCCACCTCATTATTCTAAACTCCAATGAACATAATCCTAACCAATCCATCTCTCTTCATACATCAATCCTGTCATCCCAGGACGAAGTCTGGTAAACCTTTGTTGCACTCCTAGCTAGCCAGAATTTCCTCCTTCAGATGAAGTGACCCAAAGTTGCACTGGGGCCCTACACATGGGTCTCACAACGTCCTCCTGAAGTTTTCCACCCATCTCTTTGTTTACTGCATTTATGAGTGTTGAGTCATCTGAAAACTTTACAGTTAGGTTCTATATATCCAAGTCCAGCTCACTAATAAAGATCAAAAGGAGCCTTGTCTCTAATATTGGCCCCTGGGGAACAAAATTGTATATGTCTGAAATTATGTGTTCAGTATTATTCCTCAGCTTTCTGTCCCTTAGCCAAATGTGCATCCATGCTGTCATTTCCTCTTTAATCCCATGGGCTTCAATTTTGCTGATGAGTCTATTACTCAATACTTTGTCAAACACTTCTGAAAATCTGTGTATAAAATGGCTGACTGTTATTTATTAATGTATATTTTTCAAAGCAAAAATTAATTTTGTCCAGATTCTGGTCTCTAGTCATTTATCTACCACTGGCTTTAAGATGATTGGCCTGAAGTTGCCAGTTCTATTCTATATCCCCTTTTTTAAACAACATTTGCAATCCGGCAGTTCTCTGGCATGACTTCAGTTTCCAAGAAGGATTGAAAGATAGTTGCTCAAACCTTACTCTTCCAGTAACTGAGGATGGATCCATTTGGGTCGGGTGACTTTTCTACTTTGAACGGCTGCCAACCCGTTTAAATACCTCCTCTACTTTTATCGAATCAAATTTCTTCACCCCTTTCCAACTCCTGCACTGTGATGTTGCAGAGACAGATGCAAATTATTCATCCAGTCCTCAACCATTCTCTCCGCCTCCAAAAGAAGATACACCCTTTCTTTAACTAGACTTATGTTCAGGAAAGAGTTTAAAGTTTGCTTCTGTTCCCTGCTAATCTTGTCTCATACATTCTTCTTAGCCTCTTTCTTTCCATTTCCAGTTCTCTTGAAATTCAATCATTCCGGATGTATAATTTTTCAACTTCCATATATTATTAAACTCCCTCAACTGTATCCATTGCTCCCAATGTGGTCTCCTCGATATCAGGGAGACCGGGGACCGGTTTGTGAAGCACCTGCGCTCTGCACACACCAACCAACCTGATCTTCCGGTTGCCATCCACTTTAACTCCCCCTCCCACTCCCCTGATGACATGACCATCCTTGGCCTCCTCCACTGTCAGAGTGAGGCCAAATGCAAATTGCAGGAACAACATCTCATATTTCACCTTGGGAGCTTACAGCCTAATGGCCTGATTATTGACTTCACCGGCTTCAAAATCTCTCCTCCCCCAACCTGCCATCTTCCAACTCAGCTATCCGCTCCACCCTTCCCACTGACCAACCACAATTCACCCATCTCCATCTCACCTACCCTTGTCCCTACCCCGCCCCACTCCCACCCTCCTCCCTCTATTTGTTTCTGGGCTTCCATCCCCCTCCCCTGAAGAAGGGTTCCGACCTGAAACGTTGACTTTACTGCTCCTTGGCTACTGTCTGACCGGCTGTGCTTTTCCAGCTCCACATTTATTGGCTCTAGCTCCCAGCATCTGCAATCCTTTCTGTCTCCTCCTCCTCTTCCTGTTGCATGTTAATCTCTTTGTCTTGAGTCCTCCAGGGTACTGTAGCTTTTGATTTGCTTCCTTTTCCCCTCTTAGATGTATTTAATTTGTACCTAAATCATTTCCGATTTGAAGCCTTCTTATTGCATATTTATTGCTCTACCTTTTAATCTTTGATTATAACACACCTGGCTTAGATACCTTTTGAATGAAATTAGCCCTCCTCTACATCAATATCTTCATCTTTTAATATTCCTTGTCCGTTTCCACAACTACACTAACCTCACTAATATTATCACAGCACCACTGGATTGTTACAGTCAAAGGCCGTTTGCGTGTTGAGTCTGCTCGAGCTCACCAAATAAGCTGATCACTTTGTGCCACTCCCCCACATTCTTCTCTTGCCCTGCACATTATTCCTTTTCAGACAGCAATCCGATTTCTTCTTGAATACCTTCATTAAACCGGCCTCCACCACACTGTCAGACAGTGGAGTCCAGATCGTAACTACTCCATTAAACCTGCTTCCACCACACTCTCAAACAGCGGAGTCCAGACCCTAACCACATGAGTGAACCTGCCTCCACCTGGCTTTTAGGTACTGCATTCCCAACTAAGGATTCCAAGGATACGTGCCCCATGGAAAGGACAAGCAGATGGGTAGGGGGAAGGGTTGCCTTGTTGGTGAGAAATTAATAGCAAGAAGTGATATAGGGTCAGAAGTTACACAGGCCTCCTAGCAATAGTTAGGATGTGGGGCAGAAAATCAGACAGGAGGTAGAAAAGACATATAAGAAAGACCTTATTACAATAATAATGGGGGACTTCAAAATGCAGGTGGACTGAGAAAGTCAGGTTAGTAACCGATCTGAAGAAAAGGAATTTGTGGAATGTCTATGAGATGAGTTTTTTGGAACTGCTTGTGATAGAGTGCACTAGGGAACAGGCAATTCTGGATTTGGTGATGTGTAATGAGGCAGACTGGATTAGGGAGCTGAAGGTGAAGGATCCATAGAGGGCAGTGACCGTAATATGGTAGAACTCACCTTACAGTTTGAGAGGGAGAAGCTGGAATCAGATGTAACAGTCTTACAATTGAAGGTAACAACAGAAACATGAGGGAGGAGCTGGCCAGAGTTGATTGGAAGGTGAGCCTAGCAGGGAAGACAGCGGAATGGCAGTGGCACGAGTTTCTGGGGGTAATTCGGGAGGCACCACAGAAATTCATCCCTAGGAAGAAAAATCACACTGAGGGGAGGATTAGGATGTCTTGGCTGACAAGGGAAGTCAGGGACAGCATAAAAGCAAAAGAAAAAGCATACGACGTGGTGAAGGTTAGGGGGAAGGTAGAGGGCTGGGAAGCCTTTAATAACCAGCAGAGGATAACTAGAAAAACAATGAGGTTGGGGTGGGGAGGTGGGGAGTTGTTGGTGGATGTTAAATGTGAGGATAAGTTAGCTCATAATATTAAAGAAGGTTGCAAGAGGTTTTTTAGATGTAGAAAAGGTAAGAAAGAGGCAAAAGTGGACATTGGACCCCTGGAAAATGAGGCTGGAGAAGTCAAAATGGGGAACAAAGACATAGGAAGAACTGAATAGGTACTTTGCATCAGTTTTCATAGTGGAGCAACAGGAAACCAGAACTTTTAAGAAAGTCAGGAGGCAGAGGTGAGTGTGGTGGCCATCACTAAGGAGAAGGTGCTAGGGAAGCTGAAAGGTCTGAAAGTGGATAAGTCACCTGGACCAGATGGACTACACCCTAGAGTTTTGAAGGAGATAGCTGAGGAGATTGTAGAGGTATTAGTGCTGACCTTTCAGGAATCACTGAAGTCAGGGAGGGTCCAGAGAACTGGAAAATAGCTAATGTAACATCCCTGTTTAAGAAGGGAGAGCAGCGGAAGATGGGAATTTATGGGCCAGTTAGCCTGACCTTGGATGTTAGTAAGATTTTAGAGTCCATTATTAAGAATGAGATTGTGGAGTACTTGGAAGTGCATGGTAAAATAGGGCTGAGTCAGCACGGCCTTGTCAAGGGGAGATCATTCCTAATAAATCTGGTAGAATTCTTTCAGGAGGTAATGAGCAGGTTAAACAAGGTTAGATGAGCAGGAGAGCCAGTGGACATGATCAATTTGGATTTCCAGAAGGCTCTTTACAAGGTGCCACATAGGACTCAGCTAAATGGGATAAGAGCCAATGGTGTTAGGGGCAAGGTACTGGTATAGACGGAGTATTGGCTGACTGGCAGAAGACAGAGAAAATGGGGATAAAGGAGTCTTTCTAAGGTTGGCACCTGGTGACTAGTGGAGTTCCGCAGTGGTCAGTGCTGGGACCGCAACTATTCATGTTGTACATTAATAATCTGGATGAAGGAAGTGAGGGCATCTTTGCTAAGTTTGCAGACGACATAAATATAGATGGAGGGGCAGGGCATACTGAAGAAGCGGACAGGCTGCAGAAGGAGTTGGGCAGGCTAGGAGAGTGGGCAAAGAAGTGGCAGATGGAATACAATGTGAGAAAGTGTGAGGTTATGCACTTTGGTAAGAAGCATAGAGTATCTTCTAAATGGGGAAAGTTCAGAAATCTGAAGCACAGAGAGAATTAGGAGTCCTAATTGAGGATTTTCTCAAAATTAACATGCAGGTTCGGTTGGCAGTTAAGAAGGCAAATGCAATGTTCACATTCATTTCAAGAGGGCTGGAAGACAAGATGTTCTGCTGAGGCTGTATAAGGCTCTGGTCAGACCATGCTTGGAATATTGTGAGCAGTTTTGAACGCCATATCTCGGCAAGGATGTGCTGACTTTGGAGGGGGTCCAGAGCATGTTCACAAGAATCATCCCGGGAATGAACGGCTTGAGGAGCAGTTGAGAAGAATGAGGGGCATCTCATTGAAACGTACAGAATAGTGAGAGGCCTGGATAGAGTGGACACGGATAAAATGTTTCCACCAGTAGGAGAGTCTAGGACCCAAGGGCACAGCCTCCGAATGAATGGTCAACCTTTGAGATCTGAGATGAGGATGAATTTTTTTCAACCAGAGGGTAGTGAAACTGTGGAACTTATTGCTGCAGAGGGCTATGGAGGCCAAGTCATTGAGTGTATTTAAGACAGAGATAGATAGATAGATTCTGGATTAGAAAGGGAATCAGAGGTTATGGGGGGAAGGCAGGAGAATGGGTTTGATCGAATGGCAGAGCAGACTCAGTGGGCTAAATGGCTTAATTCTGCTTCTATATCTTATAGTTGAACCACTCGAGTGAACATGCCTCCATCACAGTGTCTCAGGCAAAATTGGGAGAGATGATGGCCTAGTCTTGTTATCACTGGACTGTTAATCCAGAACTCCAGATAATGTTTTGGGGACGTGGGTTCAAATCTCACCATGGCAGATGGTAGAATTTGAATTCAATAAAAAAAATCTAGAATTAAGAGTCTAATGATGACCATTAAACAATTATCGATTGTCAGAAAACCCTATCTGGTTCACTAATGTCCTCTAGGGAAGGAAACTGCCATCCTTACCTGGTCTGGCCTACATGTGACTCCAGACCCACAGCAATGTGGTTGACTCTTAACTGCCTTCTGGGCAATTAGGGATGGACAGTAAATGCTGCCTAGCCAGCAATGCCCTCATTCCATGAGTGAATAAATAAAAACTCATATTACTATTGTTCTTTAAGCCAATCATCTAAAATCTGTGATGAAAGCAAAATAAGGCAGAGGCTGGAGATCAGAAATAAAAACAGAAATTGCTGGAGAAACTCATCACATCTTACAGCATCTGTGGAGAGAGTCCAGTGTAACATTTCTTCAGAACATCCTAAGCAATACTCCAATATTTTATACAAGTTTAACATAATTTAATTGCTATAATAGCCCATGCTCTGAACCCACCTACTACTTCTAACGATTTCTGCACATATATTCCCAGATCTCTCTGCTGTTGCACACCTTTAGAACCGTACTGCTTGTTGTATATTGCATCTCTACATTCCTCCTGCAAGATAAACCACTTCATACTTGTCTGCATTCAGTTTTATTTTCTAATTGTCCGTCCACCCTACTAGCGTGTTTCGTGAAGTTCTGTACTAACCTTCTCACAGCTCAGGATGCTTCCAAAATTTCATATCATCCACAAAAAATAGAATTTCTGCTTAAATTTTAAAAGTTATCAATATGAATTTCAGAAGTTACCGACCTCTTTACCTTTTGCTGTCTCTTTTCCCAGTCTATATTAGGGTAATTGAAGTTTTCAATTGTCATGCTAATATATTTTATTTGTAATTGGAAAATACCCCAGTGGTTAAAAAAGGGTGCTGTGCTGAACTTAGAGTGAAAACATATCATTGGGAAAATGTGGAAGGAGCTTGATTCTGTATCTAACCCTGTGCTATTCCTATCCTGGGAGTGTCTGATGGGGACAGTGAGGAGGGTGCTTTACTCTGTATGTACCCTGAACTGTGTGTGTGCCATATGTCAATTGCTTTATCTCTTTCTATCATCCTCTCAGATCCTGGCGAGTTTGCGCAGTGTGAGGAACAACTTCACTGTTCTGGCCAACACCCAAGGACCCCCGAATAAGTGAGTACCAGGCATCTGCTGCATTCAGCCAATCACAGCCCAGGGTGTGGACCAGTCCTCTGGCCATCACTGATTCTATGATTCACTGAGGGGAATCCATGAGAATGCCGTAGAACCACGCTTGTGATTGGGTGCTAAGTCACAGGTTTCAATGATTCTACAACATACAGGTGGCCATTCAGCTGGGTTTGACCATACCGATGCTTGTACTCCAAACCAATTTTAGTTGTAATAAGCTGTTTCACACTGCTCTCAAATTTCCTATTCTCATCTCCCTTGTGTGTCCTTCAAAACTCCTCCTACTGCTGTTGTTAACCACGTCCTGTGGCACCAAGTTCCACGTTCTCATCCCCCTCATGTTGTACATTTCAATATTGGCTACAGTTCAAAAGCATGTCTTTGGTTATAAAGCATTTTGGAACATCCCATATTGTGAAAAGTGTTACACAAATGAAAGTCTTTTTCTCATTCTTAAAAAGAATTCCTTCTCAATTCTTTATTCCATCTGTTAATGATTATTGCCCTGAGGACAGTTAAGAGTTAACCACATTGCTGTGGCTCTGGAGTCACATGTAGGTCAAATGAGGTTCAAATCCTACTATGGGAGATGGTGAAATTTGAACTCCATAAAAATCTGGAATTAAGAATCGAATGATGACCAGGAATTTATTGTTGGTTGTCGAAAAAACCCATCTAGTTCCTTTGTGAAGGAAACTTCCATTCTTACCTAGTCTGGACTACATGTGACTTCAGACCCACAGAAATGTGGGTGACTCTTAACTGCCCTCTGGGCAATTAGGCATGGGTAGAATCATAGAGTCCTACAGCACGGTGACAGGCCCTTCGGCCCAAACTGGTCCATGCCGAACAAAATGTCCATCCACACTAACCCCATTTCCCTGCACTTGACCCATATATTTCAAAACCTTTCCTATCCATGTATTCATCCAAATACCTTTTAAATGTTGTTAATGTACCTGCCTCAAGAACTTCCACTGGCAGCTCATTCCATATGTGTGCCACCCGCTGCGTAAAAACGTTGCCTCTCCGGTTCCCATGTATTCTTTCCCCTCTTACCTTAAACTGATGCCCTCTAGTCCTCGATTCCCCAACCCTGGGAAAAAGACTGAGTGCATTCACCTATCCATGCCTCTCATGATTTTAAACACTTCTATAAGATTCCCCTCTCAGTCTCCTATGTTCTAAAGACAAAAGTCCTAGCTTTCCTAATCTCTCCCTATAACTCAGTCCGTTGACTCCTGGCAACATCCTTGTAAATTTCTTCTGCACGCTTTCCAGTTTAATAACATCCTTCCTATAGCAAGGTGACCAAAACTGAACACAGTATTCTTAAGTGCAGCCTCACCAATCTCCTGTACAACTGCAACATAACTTCCTAACGTCTATGCTCAGTGCCTTGACCAGTGAAGGCCAGCGTGCCGAAAGGCTTCTTCATTGCCCTGTTTACCTGCGACTCCAACTTTCAGAGAACCGTGCACCTGGACTCCAAGGTCCCTCTGTTTCACTACACTCCTTAAGGCCCTACCATTCACCATGAAACTCCTACCTTGATTTGACTTTCCAAAATGCAATACCTCACATTTATCTATATTAAAATCCATTTGCCATTTCTCGGCCCATTTCCCCAGCCGATCAAGATCCTGCTGCAATTTCTGATAATCTTCCTTACTGTCCACAATATCACCTATTTTAGTGTCATCCGCAAACTTACTAATCATGCCTTGTACATTCCCATCCAAATCATTGATATAGATAACAAACAGCAATGGGCCCAGCACTGACCCTGTGGCACACCACTAGTCACAGGCCTCCAGTCCAACAAACATCCTTCCACTATTACCCTCTGCTTCCTACCATCAAGCCAATTGTGTATCCAATTTTCCAACTCTCCCTGGATTCCATGTGATCTAACCTTCCAGAGCAGCCTACCATGTGGAACCTTATCAAAGGCCTTACTGAAATCCATATCGACTATGTCTATCGCCCTGCCCTCATCAACCTTCCTGGTCAGTTCATCAAGAAACTCTAACAAATTAATGAGGCATGATCTCCCACGCACGAAGCCATGCTGACTACTCCTAATCAAACCCTGTCTTTCCAAATGCGTGTACATCTTATCCCTCTGAATCTTTTCAAGTAACTTACCTACCACAGATGTTGAGCTTACTGGTCTATAATTCCCAGGTTTTTGTTTGCAGCCCTTCTTGAGTAAGGGCACAACATTCGCTACCCTTCAGTCTTCTGGGACTTCAACCGTGGCTAACAATGATGCAAATATATCAGCCAGGGCCTCCGCAATTTCTTCTCTCACCTCTTGCATGGTTCTTGGATATATGTGGTAAGGGCCAGGAGATTTATCCACTTTCATACATTCTGATACTTCCAACACCTCCTCTACTGTGATATGGACTGTCCCCAAGATATCGCCACTAACTTCCCCAAGTTCCCAAGTCTTCATGTCTTTCTCTACAGTAAACACAGGAGAAATATTCATTAAGGACCTTGCCCATCTCCAACAATTCCACACATACATGTCCACTTTGGTCCTTGAGGGGTCCTATTCTCTCTCTAGTTATTCTATTTCCTTTAATACCCTTAAAGAATCTCTTTGGATTCACCCTAATCTTCTCAGCCAAAGCTATCTCGTGCCCCCTTTTCGCATTCCTGATTTCCTTCTTCAGTAATCGCCTGTATCCCCTATATACCTCCAGGGATTCCCTTGATCCCAGCTGCCTCTACCTGAGCCATGCCTTCTCCTTTTTTCAGGTCAAAGCCTCAATATCTCTTGTTATCCAGGGTTCCCTACTCTTGCCAATCTTGCCCTTCACCCTCATAGGAACATATAAACCTTAAACTCTAGCTATCACACTTTTAAAAGCCTCCCACTTGCCTGAGGTCCCTTTGCCTGCAGATAAACTACTCCAGTACCCTGCAAGCTCCTGTCTAATTCCATCAAAATTTGCCTTGCCCCAATTTAGAACTTGAACCTGTGGACCAGTTTTGTCCTTCTCCATAACTATTCTAAAATTAATAAAACTATGGTCACTGGTCCCAAAGTGCTCCCCCACTGTCACCTTAGTCACCTGCCCTGCCCTATTTCCCAACAGTAGGTCAGGTTTTGCCCCCTTGCCGAGTAGGACCCTCTATATATGCTTGAGGAAACTTTCCTGAACACACTTAACAAATTCCACTTTATCTAAGTCCTTAACACTGTGACAGTCCCAGTCTGTGCTAGAAAAATTAGGAAACCCTGTTGCTCCTGCAAGTCTACCCAGTCTCCCTTCATATTTGTTCCTCTAATTCCCATTGACTACTTGGAGGCCTATAGTACAACCCCAATAATGTCACCATCCCCTTCTTATTTCTTAGCTGCACCCACAAAGCCTCACTGGATGATCCCTCAGTTATTTCATCTCTGACTACTGCTGTGATACTCTCCATAATCAAAAATGTAAACCCCTCCCCTCTTTCCTCCACCTCTGTCCCACCTAAAATACCTGTACCCTGGCACATTAAGCTGCCAGTCCTGTCCCTCCCTTAGCCATGTTTCTGTAATGGCTATAATATCCCAGCCCCACATACCTATCCACACCCTGAGTTCACCGGCCTTACCTGTCAGCCCTCTTGCATTGAAATAGATGCAATCTAATCCAACATGCATTCCTCGCTCCCTGATGTGTCTCTTCGAGTTGTTGCTGTTTCTGAATACTGTATCTCCTTCCAGCCTCACACTTGCCTCTCTGCTGTTGAGGATTCCCCCCCGCCAATCCAGTTTAAACCCTCCCTTGAAGCACTAGCAAATCTGCCCACCAGGATATTGGTTTCCCCTCCAGTTCAGGTGCAACCCATCTGTCTTCAACAGGCTACTTCTGCCCCAGAAAAGATCCCAGTGATCCAGCAACCTGAATCCCTGCCCCCTGCACCAATTCTTTAGCTACACATTCATCTGCCATATCATCCTGTTCTTACCCTCACTAAATGCTGCCTAGCCAGTGACGCCCTCATCCCGTGAATGAATTTAGAAAGATTAATATTAATGTCCCGTTGTTCTCACAAGCGGAAATAGTTTCCCTGCATTCATTCTACTGAAGAGTCATAATTTTAAAGATTCCAATCAAGCTTTCCCTTGGGCACCTTTTTACCAGATTAGCCTCAGCTTGTTCAGGAAAATGTCAGTTGTTACTGATTAATCTGAGTTAGGACCTGGAAAATGAACTTGGTGACTCCTGGTCCCCTTGCATAAGCACATGCTTGTTTCCAGTCTCCACAGGATTGTCTCAATCTCCTGATATTATCTTAATTGAACATTCGCAGCAGCCCCAGAGAAACAATGGGAATGCCTGATACTGGGAAGATGAGCTGAGCTCCTACCAGTGAATCCCCAGTTTACCCCCACTGGAAAATTCTGATCAATCCTCGGAGAAACCCAGTAGATCATCTGAGGGGGAATTTGGGTGATTTTCAGTAAGTTATTTTTGGGTGGGGTTATGGGTTAGTTGCTTTGAGTAATCTGCTTGACTGGTGGAGAAACCCTGAAGTTATAACCTCTCACTCTACTCCCCTAGGGGGTTGTGGTATTACTGCTTCCGGAACCCCACTAAAGGCCAGTATCAGTCTGCAGTGACAGTGTGCTGCACACTCAGAGCCCTGAATTTTCGCAGAGTTGAAATGACTCTGGAGCTACTTAAAAACAGCAAATAGGAGCCAATTCCAGAATTCCTGGCCCTATTCCCACTGCCTCCAATTTTTGGTAGTGCAGGATAAGGATATGCATCCCCAACATGGGCAGCACCATTGCAGGTGTAAGCATCTCCTAGTCTCCAGCAATTTCTGCTGTGTCAAGTCAGCTTGTCCATGGCTTGTGGCTCATAGCCCCTCAGCTGTGAACCAGTCTGCATCCGTGATCCTTTTGGAAGGTAAGTTGAAAAGAACTAAATCATGCTCCTTCTACACGAAGAATAGCTTACTAAGATCTTGCAAGGATGTCAATCAAGCAAAGTCAGAAATTCACTCCAGTCATTAAAACAGAATCTCCTGCCAACCTATACTTTCATTAGTCATGGCTCACAGCCAAGCCTCATTGTACATGCATTTCTGTGATCCCTTTTGTCAATGTTTCAGTGTTTGTTTGGATAGGATTAAGAAGTATGGAATGTTTGACATTTCTATTATTAATTATTAACAGTTTGCCTGACACTTTTATAGGGTTGTAGGAACAGTACCTTTTTAAAAAAATAATGTCATCAGTTTTTTTTTATTTTCACAAATTCCACACTTGTGATTATTATTATGTGGCACAGTGCATTCCCCCCTCTGCCCCCAGCCATCACCACCACTACCAAATAAGGGAAACATCCTCACTCAAACTACCCACCTCAGTAACCAGATTCTGTCCCAGTTACTGCAAAGCCAGCACAGAGAAGTACATTTGGAGGATAATTGAAGACATTATAGGTACACTGTAAACTCTGGGGCACTCAGTCACTTGATATTTCAAAAAGTGCAATAATAATGCAGTCCCAATATCAAATCAAGTGTGTGTGTGTGTTTCAATTCAATGTATACTCGCCTGGGTGCTGTCTGTGTGTATCCTGTCTGGGTGAATATTGCCTGTCATTATCCTGGCTATGCCCTGTCTGTGTTGTGCTGACTGCATGATTTCAGTGCCCTTCTTGTCTCTGTCCACGTTGCCTGTGTGTTGTCTGCACAGTCCTGCAAGCAGCTATCTTGTCTGTATCCCAGGCCTCTTTGAGTGCTCACTTGTTTTTCTGTTTTTCTCCACAGGAGGTCACCAGCAGGACCACAGCCTGCACTGTGCACCCTGTCAGGTAATTAAACCTCTTCTACACAGCAAAGGAATGAAAGAACTCCTTGTTAATGTAGCTTTTTGCTGTTACATGGGAGGAGGAGCTCACAATCGTTGCAGCTACAGCAGTTTAGGAGTCCGTAGCATATGGTTCAAAACCTCTGCATACGAGGCCCAGAACATGTAGATGATGCAGTTCCAGAATCTCAGAAAGTTTACAGCACAGAAAGCGATTGCCTGGCCCACCAATCTGTGCCAGCTGAAAAACAAGTCCCAGCCTAATCCCACTTTGTGGCATTTGGTCCGTTAGCCCTGCAGTTACAACACTTGAGATGCATTTTGAGTCACCTTTTAAATGAGTTTCTGCCTCTACAACCCTTTCTGACACTGAGTTTCAGACCCCTAGCACCTTTGGGTGAAAGTATTTTTCTTCTTTTCCCCTCCAATCAGAGTACTAATCATTTTAAATCCATGCACTGTAGTCTGATCTCTTTTTGAAGGTAAATTGGCCTTTCCCATCCTCTATCCGATACTTAAAATTTTATGCATCTCAATCAAATCTCCCATCAGCCTCCTGTGTTCCAAGGAGAACAGCTCCAGCCTATTTAACCTTTCTTCAAAGTTTCATTTTTCCTGTTCTGGCAATATCCTTGTAAATCCCATCCCTACTGTCCCTACAATTGTTACATCCTTTCTATTATAGGGGACTAGAATTTCACACAACCTTCCATGATTTCACAGGATAGATACAGCACAGGGTTAGATGAAATGAAACTTCCTCTTGCCTATCCCCGCCAAACATTCCCAAGCAGGGACAACACAGTGTGAGATACAGAGTAAAGCTGCCTTTATACCGTCTGCATCAAACACTCCTAGGACAGGCACAGCACAGTGTTAGATACAGAGTAAAGCTCCGTTCACTTTTTTAACTGATAATGAAGCTACCTCTACACTGTGCCCAGCAAATACTGCCTGGGCAGGGACACCCCAGGGTTAGATACAGAGTAATGCTTCCATTGCACTGTTCCTGTCAAACATTTAAGACAGGTAAAGCACTGTGAGAGATGGATAATGAGCTGCATTTATTTCCTGTAACTCTGCAAGAGGATGCTGTGTTTGTTCCTGAGGTGGAGAATTGTTGGGTTTACTATGTGACTTTCAGTGAACTTCTGATTTACAAATGAAGCTTGAACAGTCAGTGTGCTAGGCTTTTGGGAGTGTAGGAAAGGGGCTGCTCTGCTGAGCTCTGACAACTAAATATATTCAAAGTGGCAAGTAACATTCTCCCTGCACAAGTCCCAGGCAATGACTATCTCCAACAAGAGAGAATCTAACCATTGACCCTTAATTTTCAATTGCATTACCATCACTGAATCATCCACTATCAGCAGTCTAGGGGTTAACATTGATTATAACTGAACTGGATGAGCCATATAAAAACTGCTGATGACAGCAAGTTAGAGGCTAGGAGTAACTCACCTTCTGACTCCCCTAAGCCTGGCTGTCATCTACATGGTGCAAGTCAGGAGTGTGAGGGAATATTCCACACTTGCCTGGTTGGGTGCAGCTTCAACAACATTCAAGAAGCATCATCCAGGACAAAGCTGCCCACATTCACAAGTATCCACTCCCTTCTTCAGTAGCAGTAAGTGTGTACTGTCTACAAGATGTACTGCAGGAATTCACCAAAGATCCTTAGATAGCACCTTACAAACCCATGATCACTTCCATCTGGAAGGACAAGTGCAGTAGACAAATGGAAATACCACCACCTGCAAGTTCCCCTCCAAACCACTCACCATCCTAACTTGATGGGTCAAAGTCATGGAATTCCCTCCCTAATGGTATTTTTTTTCTTATTCATTCATTGGATGAGGGTGTCGCTGACCAGGCAGCATTTATTACCCATCCCTAATTGCCCAGAGGGCAGTTGAGAGTCAACCACATTGCTGTGGGTCTGGAGTCACATGTAAGCCAGATCAGGTCAGGATGACAGATTTCCTTCCCTAAAGGACATTAGTGAACCAGATGGGTTTTTCCAACAATTGACAATGGATTCATGGTCATCATTAGATTCTTAATTTTGGATATTTTACTGAATTCAAATTCCACCATTGCCCTGGCAGGCTTCAAACCTGGGTCCCCAGAACTTTATCTGGGTCTCTGGATTAACAGTCCAGCGAAAATACCACTAGGCTATTGCATTCCCTATTGTGGGTTTATCTACAGCACAGGGACTGCAGCAGTTCATGAAGGCAGCTCACCCCCACCTTTTCAAGAGCAGGTGGGGATGTTCCAGCCAATGATGTTCACATCCCATGAATGAAAAGAAACAAAGATTTAACAGCATAAGGCGCTGTGCCAATCTCTGGTCAATTTCCTATTTTTTAGTTTTAATTTGTCCCTAAGTAGCTTTCTGATTGTGTGAAAATTCACAAACAAGAAGAAGATGATTGTCTCCTCCCACACGCACTTCCCCACATAGTCTGTGCTGTACTGGTACTGTTTGTTCTAATCCCTCACTTTCCATTCCTCTCATGGCCCTAAACCCCAGTTCTGCCTTCTGTATTCTTCCCCTCCGCCCTTTCCTCTTGGTTCACACATCCCTGCCTCTCAGTTCCGCACATCATTTACACCCCATTAAAGAAAAAAGTTCGAAGGAAGGGTCACTGCACCTGAACCGTTAACTCTTATTTCTCTCCACAGATGCTGCCAGACCTGCTGAACTTTTCCGGCAATTTTTGTTTTTGTTTCTTCATTTACACCCCATGCTGCTGTCAGCCACCAGCACTGCTGTCTTCCTCTCTGTCAACACCCCAACTCTCCCTCCCCTTATCCCTTGTTCTGACTCTTTCTTTCCCCTGTCCCTGTTCTATTCCTTGCTGACTCCCCTGCCCTTGTCCCTGCCTACCCTCCACCGAGCGGGACGAATTAGAAGTATGTTGGTCAATAGTCAGGTTGTCAAGTGTCCTGATGTGAAAGTGACTGTCTCTTCTTAGAAGGGAAAAAAAACAATAAAACATGTAAAGACACACTGTTCCCACTCATTTCGTTGGGCAGCTCCAGCACACCAAGTACTTTCATTTTCATGTGGTACTGGATTATGACTCGTTTTTCACCATTGTGGCCAACACCCACTGATACTCAAAATATACTGTGGGCATATTATAACCATGCAGTCTCCACCTCAGTTCCTCGCAATGTAATATGGGTAATCTCTGTCCCATTGCTTTCTAAATGACTTTCCCACTGTCCGCATCTCAGAAAGAATACACTTGCCTTTGAGTGGCTGCAGCACAGATTCACCAGAAAGTGTAAAATCATGAGGACAGGTTGTAATGTCTGTATTTACCTTTGCTGGAATATAGAAGGTTCAAAGATGGTAAGTCAAAGTGTTGAAAATGATGAAGGAATTTAAGAGCATGTTTAGGGAGAAAGGAGCTATTTTCCCTTAGTGAGACAGTCCAGAAAATGGGGGACATAACATCAGAGCAAATCTGTTCAGGGTTGTGTTTGGGGAGGGGGGGATAGTGGTGGTGAACCGGGAAGGGGGAAGGAGTCAGAAGCGTGAGAGAGATGGTAGTAAAAATACCTTTCACACTGGGTTAGCGTAATGAGGGTGCGACAGTTTAACTATGCTCGTGGCCTTGTGTTTCCAGATGAAACTTATCAGCAACTGGCAAAAGAAACCCTGGAGGAGCTGGACTGGTGTTTAGACCAACTGGAGACGATCCAGACCTACCGCTCTGTCAGTGAGATGGCCTCAAACAAGGTAAGCAGGGTGTATGGGATGGAAAGTGTGGAAAATCTATGTTGAAGTGTAGTATTGCTACAGATGTCTTTGATTCACTTAACAAACATATTTGAATTTTCTGCATCTCCCTGAAGCCAATGTTTCTTTATTAAAAGAAGGAATTTGATCTGTGCACATACTCAATCAACCTCCTGGTCCTAGACTAAAAAATGTGTAAGCCCTGGGGTCATTACTTGTCTACTGTCAAATCTTTTAATATGAACATACAAAACAGGACCAGAGGTAGACCATCCAGCTCCACAAGCCTGATAAATAAGATCTTGGCTGATTTGTTTGTCTTTTGAATTCCCAATCCGCAGTAGACAACTTGCTCCACATGCCCTCATGGTTTTCTTTGCTCAGACTTAAGACCCTGGTTTCAGAATGAATGATGTCACTGTTAAACTTCATACAAAATTCAACCATGTTATGGTCACTATTTCTCAAAGGCTCATTTCAGCAAGTTTATTAATTAGCCAAGAGGTTGCAGGGGTCACTGCTGCCCTTCCTAGTTCCACTCCAACAATAGTCGCAACAGTTTTAAATTTAACCAAACAAACTCATTCCAACAAAGATGTAAAGTTGATTTAAAATTGTAAAGATTATTATGTAAAGATGGGGCGTGGACAGGCAAACGGCATGGACGCGGCGTGGACAGGGACAGGGGCAGAGCGCGGAGCGGGATGCGGCGTGGACAGGGGCAGAGCGCGGATCGAGACGCGGCGTGGACAGGGGCAGAGCGCGGATCGAGACGC